AGTGTTTTTCTCCTCAGAAGAAGCTACAATGATGTTCTGCGGAGCTGTGGTGGCCTCATGGAGGGGGCCTTCGTCTTGAACACTGCTGCTAACCACTTAAACATCCTCTCTCTCCTGATAATAGCATTTTACTTTCTTTGACATTGAATGTGCTACTACTAGTAGTGATGCACCGATTTTTGGGCCGATACGATATACAATATTAAGATCACTGTTAAGGCCGATAACCGATATTTGTCGATACCGATATACTGACATTAATGCTTTTAAAATCAGCAGATTTTGTATAGAATGAAAATGATTAAAGCTGACTTTATGTTATTATGTACACACACCACACTCATTTAAGGTTCTGAGATGATTTCAGACAAACAATTACACATCACCCCCTCACCCTCTGAAACAGGCAAACAAATGGAGACAAGATGGAAAAAATATTAGTTGTTAATATCGGCCCAGTTTCATTTATCGAACCGATACCGATATGTTAAAAAAATGACTAACATCGGCCGATACCAATATTGATGCCGATATATTGTCCCTAACTACTAGTTTATCTGATAAATTACTTATAGATTCACTAAAAATAAAGTTTCTCTTACTAAATAGAATATTTACTAAGAAATCCCAATGTGGTCATAGAAACACTACTTGGTATACATTTGTTTGTGTGGGGGGGTGTCTGTATGTGGAGGTGTGTGCGCGCGCGTGTGTGTCTGCTCTGTCTTCTCCATCCCCAGTGAGTCGTGGTGAATGGCTGCTTATACTGAGCCAGGATCTTTTGGAGGTTTCTTCCTGTTAAAAAGGAGTTTTCCTCTCCACTGCCGCTAAATGCTTGCTTAGTATGAGGATTGCTGTAAAGTCACACTGACCCCAGTCAGTGACTTGAAGCAACCTGCTGGGTGAGGGCTGAGCTGGATTTATCAATCGAGTTCCAAACTGTGAGAAAGTCACCAACACTGAGCCTCTCCCAGGCAGTCATTAACACACCGTGTTCAGGCTTTTCCATTTGAGGAATGTCAACAAGCCAACACACTCCCCCTCAGTCATTCCAATGATGACTCAGATGCAGACTTGCTTTATATTTACTCAAATTCCTGAATCCTTGTTACAACATTTTTAAAAAGAGTCTGTTTGATGATGGACGGGAAGAAAAAACTCCACTGAGAGAAACTTTCGTAGTTCCTTAAACCAAAAAAAAAAAAAAAAAAAAAACAACAACAAAAAACAAACAAAAAAACCTAAGTTATTTTCCGACCCGATCCAACCCATGGTGACGGGGCGGATGTTGGACGTGGTCACAGCTCACTGGAGTTTCAGACCGTAGACAGCAGCTTATGTGAAATTACAACTGTGTTTGCAGTGGTGCAGTGGTTAGAGCTGTTGCCTTGCAGCAAGAAGGTCCTGGGTTTGCCCCCCAGCCTGGGATCTTTCTGCATGGAGTTTGCATGTTCTCCCTGTGCATGCGTGGGTTCTCTCTGGGTGCTCAGGCTTCCTCCCACAGTCCAAAAACATGACTGTTAGGTAATTGGTCTGTCTAAATTGTCCTTAGGTGTGAGTGTGTGATTGTTTGTCCTCTGTGTCTCTGTGCTGCCCTGCGATGGACTGGTTCTCTGTCCAGGGTGTACCCTGCCTGATTACCTATTGACCGCTGGAGATAGGCACCAGGCACCAGCCAACCCCCCCGCCCCCACGTGGACTCTTTGGACGTGAAGCAAAGAGTTGAAACCGGAATGAACATCTGCACGGCCTACACACGTTTTTAGAAGACACCATGCCGACATATCAGCCAATTACTGCCACCACGCCGTGTCTTAAGAACGCGCCATGATGGCATGGCGAGATGGAAATTTTGAGGCATTCGTGCCACCATTCTTGGTGGTAATATTACGCTGGACTTGGGAATGCATATTACACCTTGGCACAACAGAGGACGGTGTCATGATCGCATGGTAAGTTACTGCCGAGCTCCGACCAGCAGCTATATTGAAAATGAAAGTAAAAACGGGCCGGAAGTTTCACTTTTAACAGAACCAGCTGAAATTGTAAACTGACACCTTTAAGTGCGGCTTGCCAAAAAAAATTTAATGAGCGCAGCTTCAATTGCAATGAAGATATGTCTGAGATAGGGACAGCAGTAGCTCAGGAGGTAGAGCGGGTTGTCCAGTCATCGAAAGGTTGCAGGTTTAATGCTAGCTCCTGGCAGAGAATGCTGCTGTTGTGTCCTTGGGCAAGACACTTAACCCCCCATGCCTGCTGGTGGTGGTCAGTGGAGCCAATGTTCGGAAGGCCTTGCCTCTGTCAGTGCGCCCCAGGGCAGCTGTGGCTATAATGTCATCATCACCAGCAATTGAAGGACTGACTGTGTGGTGAAGCACCTTGGGGGGTTGTAGAATCATAAGAAGGCACAATACAAATACAGGCCACTAACCACAAGTTTTGTCCAAGTAAAAAAAAAAAAGTCCATGGCAGAGACTGCCTCATACCCCCTTTATATCGCCATCACTAAACCTTTAGGACACAATGGCGCCACATTACCGCCAGTGTCTGACCACTTATAAACGACCGAAGGCTCCCTAATGCTGGCTCAGCTTTGCAGCAATTAGGCAGCATTATTTTATAAAAGAGGCTGTTGTATTCTATTTTCCCCATTTTTCAGACCACACACAAACACATTCTTGTCTCCACTCTAGAGAACTGATTCAGAATTGAATCTGAATCAATTCTGAATCAAATGGTCACCTGGAGAATCGGGACTGAATTGCATTGTGAGCTGTTGTAAGAGTCACATCCCTATTATTTAGTATCCGTTGGCTGTTGACAGTTAGCGTTAGCTCATTGTTAGCGCTAGTTACAGTAGGCTACCACAGTTGTTTATGGCTGTTGTAATTCTGCTTTGAACTATTAGAAAATTAGGGGTTAGCTAAATTACAACCAGATATTTATAATCTTAAATTCAATTGTCCTGCAAAAGAAAGCTCCTCTTCTTGGTTTGCACTTTCCCTTCAATCAGCCGTTTGATTTCTTTCACCTCCTCTCCCAGGTGCCTTTTAATCTTTAACAGGTGGCCTTTTAAAAGCCATCCTAATCACCTGGAAGAGAGAAAACGATGAGGGGTTGTGTTCACAGCCATTAGAAGAGCTCCGCTGCACCTTTAGGAAATGTTGGTGTCATATAGTGAAGATGCCCACACGTGCGCACCCCCCCCCCCACACACACACACACACAAAGCTTTTGGAACATTCTTGAACGACGAACATTCATAAATCAGTAAAACCACTTTTGTGTTCTTCATGATTTGTTTATACATGTTTTATGTGAACGGCATCATGAAAAGAACCTGACAGCCAGCTGCTTCTTTCCTAAAGAAAGCTGCTCCTTCACAAGACACGACACGATGACGTCCTTGTGAATGAAGTCAGAAAAAACTAACCTTTGTTGATCAGTTTCAGCGCCTGGTTTTATAAGTTAATCAGAGGATCGAATAAACAAATCCAAAGTTGTTTAAAAGTGAGAAGTAAATGATTTTGAAAACCTCGTAACCTGGTGTGACCCTATGAGAAACGTGGGCTGGTGTGAGGCTTGCCATGGGGGGTAGGGGAACGGTTGGGGAAGGAAGCAGGGCTGCTCCTCCTGGCAGCAAGCCCTACCTCAGAAGGACGGTTCTTATCTCCAACGCACACTCAAGTACACTCACACAAACATGGTTGACTGATGGTTGCAGAACACAGCTCTGTATGGATGCGTGGAATAAACGGTTCATCTCAAACCTTTTGCTAATTAAATATAACAAACACCTTGGCGAAAAGTCCTTTTTCATTTGACCAATTCTTTAAAAACTCTGATATTAGCGTCGCTCACCAGAGTATGACGTTCGTTAAACCACAAACTGCCAAGCACCTTAACCAAGTAGAATCTTGTCTTGCATGCTGCGACCACAAAAGGCAGCCTACGCTACTGTAATGGTTTGATAAGCCAACTGAAAAGAGATTACTTATTTCTTACATCTGTCAGGTGTTATGTGAGGAGAAGATGACTCCCAAATGACTGAGGTCGAGGGTGCTGAGCAATTTACATCTTCTAAACAGAAAAGATATTTATTCAAAGCAAACACATTAAGCAGACTTCCAACATCCTCAGTGGTCCAAACCCAACTTATTCTCCAACCGATGTGGACATTAGATGCTATACTAAACACAAAGCATCAAAAACCACTCTATATTACCTTTAAGTCATTGTAAAACTGCAAAAACTAATTTAAAAATACAGAAAATTGATGCAACGTGCAACTGGAAATCGTTGCACAAACTTAGCTGAACTGAAGAAACAGATTTCCTCCATCTCCATTTTTATTCCCACACCTGGCACTTACCTCCATAGATCTGAAAACCAGCCTGAACAGGATGAAGAGTTCACAGGGAATATTAAAGCTATTCCTGAATATACTCATTTTCCAAAACAAAACTCGATGAATGGGTTACACGTGGCTCTGCAGCATCTAAACAACTGAAGTAAAGATACGATCATCTGAGCAGAAACCTTTGTGGGTAAATGAGGAATATTCCTCCTGGGCACGAGTCTTCTTGTGTTTTTCCTGCCACATGTTTCTGCAGAGTCACCTAACGTTCGCTGCTATGAGCACGACCCACTGGGATGTCACCATCAGTTGCCGGCAGGATAGCGTATGACAGAAACTATCCTAAGGAGCAGCTCAGAAGACCATGCATATCCAAAAATGATGCTTCAGAGAAAGGTCTTGCTTTAAAAACCAACACTAGTTTCTGACCAACGTTGAATAAAGTGTGATGATGAACAACCAACTTAAGTTAAAGCAGATGGGTGCTGGAGGGGAGGGATTAGTTCTCTGGTTTAACTTCACTCTGAAAACTCCTGATTTCTTCTGGTTCAGCCACCCTCACAAAAACCAACATTAGATGCAATCATGCAACCAGACTTAATTCTGACATGTGGTGTGAGTTTTTTTGGTGTGCACATCTCACCTTCTCCTGAACATCTCTGCAAAGATGCAGCCAACACTCCACAGGTCCACTGGTGTAGCATAACTGGACTGGAGCAGCACTTCTGGGGCCCGGTACCACAGCGTCACCACCTACAAAACAAACAGCAGGGAAAACATGCAGACTTCATTATAAAAGCTACATGTTGAACACTTCCCAGCAGCCTTAGGTAAAGGTCTCCATCCCGATGTGGCCAGACAGGCAGGCGCGCGCGCACGCACGCGCGCACACACACACACACACACACTGAGGGCTGAGCTGGATTTATCAATCGAGTTCCAAACTGTGAGAAAGTCAACAACACTGAGCCTCTCCCAGTCCATTAACACACCGTGTTCAGGCTTTTCCATTCGAGGAATGTCAACAAGCCGACACGCTCCCCCTCAGTCATTCCAACGATGACTCAAATGCAGACTTGCTTTATATTTACTCAAATTCCTGAATCCTTGTTACAACATTTTTAAAAAGAGTGTTTGATGATGGAAGGGAAGAAAAAAACCACTGAGAGAAACTTTCGAAGTTCTTTAAACCAAAAATAAATAAATAAATAAAAAGTTCTTTTCTGACCCGATCCAACCCACGGTGACGGGGCGGATGTTGGACGTGGTCACAGCTCACTGGAGTTTCAGACTGTAGATTGTTGTTGTTTGTTGTTTATGTGCTTAGCAGACGCTTTTACCCAAAGCGACTTACAATTTTTTTTTAACCTATAGGGCATGTTGTGTTGAGATTGCAGCTTATGTGAAATTACAACTGTGTTTGCAGACAATAGAAAAAGAATGATGAAAGTTTGACTTGTATTTAAAAATATGAATATATTTCAGAGAAACCCTTTTATTTGACTTCTTCAGAAATTGCATCAGTTCATAAAAACTGCAATTAGGAAGTTTGTGGTTCAAGTAGGAACACTAGTGGGAGGTCTCTACCTAACAGCTAACATAAAGGCTAGCAGTTAAGCTTTTCGGTTCAACGACTGTCATTAAAATGCTGAAAAAGGCGAATTTTGCATTCTTTTGTCGGCATCATGGCGGAGCCTGGAAGTAAAGGTAAGAGAGTAATGTCTTTGGAGGTGAAGCAAAGAGTTAAAACCAGAATGAATATCTGCACGGCCTACACAGGTTTTTAGAAGACACCATGCCGACAAATCAGCCAATTACTGCCACCACGACGTGTCGTAAGAACGCGCCATGATGGCATGGTGAGACGGAAATTTTGAGGCATTTGTGCCGCCATTCTTGGTGGTAATATTGTGCCGGACTTGTGAATGCATGGCGCAATAGAGGGCGGTGTCATGATCACATGGTGAGTTACTGCCGAGCTCTGGCCAGCAGCCATATTGTAAATGGGTTCAGCTGCAGTTTCACTCTTCAAGCACAGCAAAGTGCTTATCAGGATGTTGGAGCCTGATTTATGCCATTATCCGTCCTTGCGTAGGGCTCCGGCAGGCACACAAGTACGTACGGAGTCGAGCCCACTTTTTTAAACATCCGTCGAACGAGACGGATTACGCAAGCTTGTGATTGGTCAGGACGCTGCTGTTGTTTACAGCGCTGCCATTGCAAAGAGAGCCGAGGATAACTAGCGGCAGACACGGAGAAGCTTGATGAATACCTCTCGAAAAAACTCAAAAAATATGAACGCTTAATTCCCCCGTGACTGGAGGAGTGAAAAGATGCGCAGCAAGCGTTTTATTTGTGGACGGAAATGACAGGAAACGTGGGTTTAGAGGTGGGGAGCGCATGAAGAGGTGGGAGAATGAGAGACAAATATGTCCGCGTTAAAAGTCTCTTATATACACAAAAAACACAATATAAACACACGATCTTGGACCGATACATGACGGGATACCACAGAACAGCGCTACGCCCTCTGATGTCCTGCCGGGCAATTGCTTTGCAACACTCTCCAGGAGACGGAGAAGTATGAGAGCAAAACGCTTCCGTCAATCAGTGCGTGTCTGTCCCTTGCGGAGCTGATGGAGAAGCATGAACCAGGCTTTAGAGGCACATGCCTGAGAGCACAGTGACAATCTTGGCTTGGCTCGTTTTGTGAGGTAAAGCAAACACTGACACCATCTTTTGTGCACCTCCTTAAACGTCTGATTCTTTAATACAACCTTATGGGAATAACCATGAGTCCCAGGGGAAAGTCTAACCTCCTGTAGGATTTATATGATGCTGTGGTTTTTGACACTGGAGACATCTCTCAATTGCAATGAAAAACCACCCAGACTGAGTCAGGTCAAACTGCACTGAGTAGGCACTATATGTATATGAATACACTCAGACATATGTATCTGACATGAACTGCAGGCAAACATCATGCCTATGCAATTTGGTTTTGCCAGGCAAATCAAACTCAAGCATGCATTTGTGCAAATAAAAATGTTCCCATGTTGTGGAGCTGCTAATGCTAATGGTTGACTTCTTCTAGCTGAGAAGTGCTCTGCCTTCCCTGTCATCGAACCAAGATGGGTGAGTCCATGAAGAAGGAGAAGAAAGGATTTTTATATTGCGCTTCACAAGCACAATAAAAGCTACAAATTATTAAAAAACAATAATAAAAAAGTATAGAGGAATCAAAGAGGCCCCACCACAGAACCTTGTGGGACACCATGGGCAAGGGAGGTGGAGGAGGACTGAAACATGCTAATTTTCAGTTTTATGTAGACCTGTGTGGCTTTTTCTGACCCTAGCATTTCCTTGTTTAATGGAGCAAATAAGCATTGAAGACTTATTTCTCGTTCAACCTGCAATAGAATGGAACGGCCAGTCATATTTCAAAAGGAACAAGTAAAAATGGTTTCTCAGTTAACCTTCTCCTTAAAGGCATGGAACACTGAAAAATCAATTTTAAATCATTTCTGACTTTCACTTTGAACATGAAAATAGTCTCCTACACCTATCTCCTGCATTAGCTTCTGATAGAAAATAGACGGTGAAACATTGGGATTAGAAAATCCTGACAGATCTACGTCACACTGTCACTTAACATTCATGGACTCACCCATCGGAGCAGGCTGTTGTCAGTTAAGCATCCAGGAGACAGCAGAGAACGTCTCGGCTAGTAGAAGCTAACTGTTAGCATTAGCAACTCCACCACACAGCAGAAAGTTATTTGTGAAGATAAAACATCAACATAGCAAAGAAAATAGTCAGTTGTAGAGTCGTGTTGCTGAGGAGGGATGTCCAAATAACAGGAACTAAGATTCTGAGTCCTGCCGTGTTCGGCCACTCTCCTTCAGCTGACTCTGTGCTGAATCAAGTGCTTCTTAAAGTGACAGTGTGCCGTTTCCAGGCACCAGGGGACAGTACAGACATTTCTGGGTAGTATTACACCATACAGCCGTGACTGTCGCTAGTTTAAAAAACATCACAAATGTTACCTGTAGAGCAGAAAGCATGCAGCCTCAGCATGACTCATCAGACTGGTCGCCCTTCAGTTAATTCTATCGAGAAAATGCAATGCAATTGTAATTTTCTGGCGCTGTAGTTTCCGGGTCTGCCCGGGGTCCTTCGCCTGCCAATGACGTCATCATACTACGGCAATACCACTCGGCCAAAATATATTCCATCTCTTTTTTAGTTCTGTTCTTTCAGATGTTTTGGAAAGAGTTTAGCAGTTTTGTTATTAACTCATTAACTGCCATTGATGACAAAAGTCGTCATTTTAAATCAAACCGTTCAATTTGGCGTTGACATCATCATAGAGCACAACGTTCAGCGACTCTGTGAAAATGCTGAAAAACGCTGGCAGCAAAGAGCTTTTCTGATCAGGAAATGGCTGGCAGTGAATGAGTTAAATTCATGTTTCCTACTACCTAAATGTTTTTGAACGTGGTAACGTAACTTTTGTCCAGCCAATCATCTAGTGTGACGTCATCGACAGGCGCATAACCCCGAGCCGGCCAGAAGGAAACATGCCGTTCCCCAAAGACGCTAGACCTGCGCCCTATGTGCTTTAAACTCAACACTTTTTTAAAGTTACATGTTAAGAAGCCGCCAATATTTTTCAACAACTGGGCACCATTTTATTCAGTTTCAACAAGGTTTTGATGGATACTTTCAGAGATTAACAGTAAAAACTACACATTATCTCCTTGAACTAATGTGATCCTTTTAACGTGATGCTTTGGTCTCTTTAGTATGGTTGCTTAAATCAAACTACATGGCAACCCAAAGACCCCACGGCAACATGTGTGAATAATTGAAACCAATTTTGATTGCTTAAATGTAAAACTACTTGAATTACATGAATGTAAACTGGTGGGCTGATGCTTCACCGCCCACATGTTCCAGAAATAGGGATTTCATGCTAATTTCATCTGTGAAATAACAGGAACTCTTAAGATATGCTGCTATCAAGATTTCAACGGAGGCCTACAAGAGGCGACCAAATTTGGGTCACATTTTGTTGCTTATAAACTGAATGACACTATTAATAGAGCCGAAGGCTGCATTTTGCAGATGTATGATAGTGTCATCTGTGCTTCCTGCTTCGGTAGAAATAGGGCGGAAGTTGAGGCTAGTTGGCTGAGGTGCAAAAGCTTAGCCATGTGACCAGAAATAAAGAATGAACAGACTTACTGAAGGGTCATTGATAAATTTTAGGATAATGAAACCTCAAAGAAAACCATGTATGGGAGTCACACAGCAGATCCACAGCCACATGCAGGTTTTTAATCTGAGAAAAGCCAAGCCTGCATTACTTTTTTACCACTAAGTTCTGATCAATAGATTGTGACAGCAAGGTGAAGCAGATTAGAATAGCTCTGAACCAAAACAAGGCTCTGCATTAGCCTTGGTCAAATGCATGTTATTATTTTACAAAAGAACCAATCAGCATCATCCTGTAACTCTTGCTGCTGCACCCTCAAATGCACCTGACTTCGGTTTAATTGCATGGATTTCACACTCTGCAACGTCAAACGGCAGAGCAGACACGAGCAAAGCCTTCTAGGAAGAACCACAGACTAAAGCTCAAAGAATATCCGCCTCGCTGTAATTCGAAAACCCAGCCACAAGTGCAGATTAAAGCTGAAATATATCACACACGTGCTCGCGGATGCAGCGGGTGACGCATAAAGTTCTAA